CTCGAGCGCCTTAAAATGCAAAAGCGTGGGGAAGGCGTTCACCTGGAGGGGCGGCAGGTGTTGGAAGTTAGTTCGCCTGTTTTAAAAACAAGCCGCTTGAGCAGCAAAAGGGGGTTACCACTTGTCTTTCCACACGTTTCCATGCAGGCAGGGGGAATAATGGGAGAGGAGCGGCCGGGAAGGGGCTTTGTCATGGTTACAGGCCGGTGGCTGAGAATGGGGGTGGAGCGGCGCTCGTCCGGAGTTAGTGACCTCAGCAAATTGGAGCTCAGCCATGGTCAGTATGATAAATGATCTTATTCTGGGTCAAAGAAATGGTACCCCACAGGGAGGTATCCGCAAGGCGGCCCGGGAAAACTGGCTGTGCTCTTGCAGCACTGACCCCTTAGTGACCAGCCCTGCATATATCTTATTTATTACGGAGCAGGAGGGAATTTTCCATGGTTAGACCTTCATAGGGATCCCCTGTTTGCCTGGAATAAGCTCTCAGTTCTGCAGCCGAGGCAAGAGTGTGGCAGTAGTTACGCCCTCTGGATGCCCTTCCAGGCACTTTGCGCTGTGCGCTAGTTTGTATGTGGGTTTTAAGGTGGGGGGGGATATGGAGGTGTCTGGACGTTGCGTGAATGTGTGTGATCTGCCAATGACCTACGCAGCTCCCTGGCAGCAGAGAGTTGTGCTTTCATGTCAACCGATATCACAGTTGCGCAAAATCCTTCTGCGTTTCTGCCCATTTGTCAATTCAATGTGAGTTTTTTTTTTCTAGTGTAACACCCAGCTCGGTATTCTTATTCTAGGCACCTGTTTTCTCTTCGTACACAGTGAGCGCCCTCTTTGCTGAGTTATCGCTGATGCATCTGTCAGGCCCAGGAGGTTTTATTGAGCTGGGAAAGATCTGTGGATTTCAGCCTTGGTTTTGAGGGTGCAGATGAACCCAGGCTCTCGTTCCAGGCGGTACTAAAATGGAGTCCTAGCTTCATTTCTCTTGCAGGGGAAGCTCAGCAGATTCTTCATCAGCGAACAGTTGGGATAATGCAGAAGATCGGGCCTCAGAGGATACGCGAGAGAACTGAGCGGGCTCGGCAGTTCTTCCTGCCACAATCAGGAGTGTTTATAATGCAGCTGGGCTGAAAATGAGCCGGCGCTGTTGGGTTTTTGTATGCACGCTCACTGTGGCTTTTGCATCCTGTCCGCTGGTGTGACAAGCCAGTGACTTTGTGTCACTGCAAGCACACAGTTCGTTTTCCTGAGCTGTGTGTTTCACTGGGTGATTTGTTTTATGCCTGTATTGTGGATTTGAGCTCCCATCTGTGCAGTTGAACTAAGCAGTTTTCTCAAATGTTTGCCGGTTTTTCTTTTTTTAATTAACTTTAGATTATTTTTTCCTGAGAATTTGGAGGGTTTGTACTGTTGCACAGGCAACAGAAGCTGTCTCTGTGTACAAATGAGACAGGGCTTTCCTACCTTGTGCTTCAGCCCCTCCTTTGCAGTTTGAGGATGGTTCAGCTCCCCTGGCCCGTTCGCTCTGGCTTCTCTGCTGACACTGCCAATGGTTTGGACAGTCAAGGATAGTTAGAGTTGACTTTTGTGGAGGGGATATTTGTTTGCTGTGAATGAGATGGAGCAGGCTATCGAAGGAATTTCATTGAGGCCGTGCAGCAATAATAAATATACGTCATTATTGCGATGAGCTGGACTTGAACTGGGGACCTAGGGGAGAAACGCTGGATCATCTGAGCAGCCCCCTGAACCTCACTCTTGGGCCAAAACGCCTGGTGTCGGTCACCGCCAAGGGCCGGCGTGCACAGCTCGGCTCCGCTTCTGTAAACAGCAAGGGCCTCTGTTCTGGCAATAGGGGCCAGCTTTAGCAGCAACACGAGTGTAAAATCGCAGTGTTGGTAGCGACAGTTCAACTTGTCCGTGGATGCGATGCCTAGCCAGGTTGATATTTTTTCCTTCTTATATGTCATTTCTAGAGGGCCTGATGTTTGCATCGCAAATCCTTAGCCCGAGGAACTGGAAACCTGGGTTAGACCTGTAGCACAGTGTCACAAAGAAAAGGTCTTAGGAAGGATCCGTCTGTCGATAATATGAGTTGAGCAGTTGTGCTACGATTTGCTTCTTGTTACTTCCGTTATGATAACATCTAGGATCCTGAGTTACTGATCAAGACTGAACTGCAAGATGGCTTCTCCACAAACCACTCGCAATATAAGTAATCTTGTTCCTTTTCAATATCCTACCTGGGGGAGATGGTTTTGGTGTGGTTCTGGTCATTCTTCATCCTTTATAATTGATTTGTTCTGGTAATACTGGTGTACAAAATGTAGAGACATGAGGGTGGGGAAAAAATCAGTGCTGAGAAAGCAGCTGAAAGTATTTTGTCTTAAGGTTGGCTGTGGGGAAGGAGTCTTAATTTTCATTGCTATTTGGAGCAGGGAAGCTCCAGGCGTGCACAGGAGTATCTTTTGTTTTTCCTATTAATTCTTCAGTACGTGTGTACGTGACTTCTAGGGGAGGAGTAAATGAATGTAGGTTCAGATGGGGCTGCAAATAACATTATGGAAGGAGTAGGGGTGTGGGACTCTTCCAGGGCAGCCTCGCATAAATCACTCTTCTCGCCCCTTCGTCCAAGCTGCTTCTAGGTGGCTGTCTTTTATCCAGCCGGCGCCGCGTGTTTCTGTTTAAATGATCTCCCCTGAAAGGTCCCAGAGGAGAGGGCTGCTTATTCCGTCCACGGAGAGCTGCGTATGGCAGAGCTCATTGTTGTGTGCCCTGCCGCAAGTGCCTCGTGCATAAACATGAAACGGCTCGCCGGCGTCCGTGCGGTGGGGCTGGTGTCCCCTTCGTGTCCCCCGCTGCCTCCTGAAGGCTTCTCGCCGTCTTTCTTCCTCTACGGCTTTCGTTTCTTGGTGATGGAGCGCGGGAGCCGTTTGGGTGTGAGATCCGGAGGGCTTTACGTTGCAGCAGCGTTTTTCAGTGGAAGGCAAAGGCAGTTAACTCTTGTTCTAGGGGCTGACGGACCAGCGTGGTGTGTCTGCTGCATGGCTTGCGCCGTCTCTGGCCCGCGTTGCTAGGAAAGCAGCAGAAAATGGTTTATTCTGCGCTCTGAACTACATGTCATTATAAGGGAGTCTCGGGTCGGCCCCAGGCAGATGATGCGGTTTAGCGGGCAGCTTTACGGCGCAAAGCAGGTCGCTCTGTCGTGATCAGAGCGATGCCATTTTCCGAGGCAGCGATACCTGGTGCTCCCCGGGCAGCCCCGCTGCAGCAGCGAGGCTGACGTGCTGCGGAGGGAGGCCGCGATCCAGCGCCGCTGAGGGCCGGGGAAATGGAGGCAATCACAGAGGATCTCCCGCCCCCTGACCCCAGAAGAGAGGCCCCCATCTGCTGCGGTCAGATGTGTCCCCGTTGCCTAGATGTGCAGCTGCCTACGCCGGGGCTGTTTTGTCCTGGATGCAAAGAAAAGCCTGGGCATGGCAGAAATGATGGGGGTAACTTTGCTCTGTCCTAGGTAGCATCCGTGATCCCATCGCATCCTGCAGAGCTTGAGCCAAGCTGCTACAAGCACGGTCGTTTCTGCTGGTCGTGAAGCAAAGGCACGAGGAATAGGATGCCAACTTTCAATTTTAGCTCTGTCTGCGAGAGGCGTGTGAAAAGGCTTCCCGTGACTAGAAGTAGGTTATCACACGTGAGGGAGATGTGGAAACCCCTCCGCCGTCCCCGCTCGTGCTGCCGAAAGGGGCTCCGGCCCTCGCTGGTGGATCTGTGCGTTCGGAAAGCTTCCTTGTGCCTCTAAAACAAACAAAACTCTTTGGGGGCTTTCAAAGGGCTGTTTAAAGGAGCCCCGGGAGAATAACTGATTGTGGATGCAGAATGATGAAGTGGTTTGAGGAATGGTGAAATATAGAGGCAAATGCGGGAGAACTCCACGCTGCAATTTGTCAGCTTCTCTAAACCCTGTAACGGATTATTCTCCCCCTCTGTCGCGTCTCACCTCTCCAATAGGAAATTAACTGATGCTATCACTAAAGAAATTGTTTTTGCCTCACAAAATAAAATTGATACTATAAAAACCCGCCAGCAGTGTCTCCTCCTCCTTTTACATGAAGACAAATCCTTCCTGTCACCTACTGAAATGGAAAGATAAAGGCTGAGCTTTAATAAAGGAGCCCTTCGCGCAGTGTGTAGAGGGAGGGCAGCGCGTGCGGAGGAGAAGGCACGGCATGGGGACGCACGGCTACGGCAGCAGGTGTGATGCCAAAGGACATTGCAAGTGTCCCAACTACAACCACCACCACCACCAGCGCATGTATGGTTAATGCACAGTTATACACATGTTCACGTCATGGAGCGCTTGTCTCCAAGACTGCCCGCTGGTTTTGGTACTGATAGTGTCCCCCGTGTATTCCTTTCACATAGTTAGGCTTACTGCTTTGGATTTTTTTAAATCTAATCAAACACACATGCAGTTAAACATGAGTTTGTTAGGTAATAACAGAATATACAGGACATGGGAGGTGTTAAAGAAATACTAACGTCTGGAGTCTCCTGCTGGTTTGGCTTTTCAGCATTAACTCTACGTTAGTTCTTGGTGGGGATGCGTTGCACGTGTGCACGTGTGCTCCTTAAGGGAGGTGGCCCTTCCTGGTGAATGCTGATCTGGACAAGCTCTAGGGCATCCTTCTGTTACTCCCCTAAAGAGCTGTACTTTGTTGTTCAAGCAGAGGATCACTGTTCCTTGAATTGCCCTTTCTCTCGGAAGGAGGAAACCTCTTCTGCTGAGCTGTAGAGTTTGGGGCAGAGCCCGGGGCTCTGAGCTCCCTTGGTTCAGGGGTGCACGTTAGGTGCTGGTAAGGGACGGTTCTGTTGTGCGGTTTCTTATTAGTGAAGGTTCGCAGCTATCCCCACCTATCCGGCACGTTCCTCATCCACTCTTTTGTGGACAGTCGCTTTGTTCTGACATGAGCTAGTCTGTAAACTGCTGTCCTTTCTCTGTTCAGGGGATATCAGAAACCTGCTAAAGTGGATCAAACAGAATTTGTTGAAAGAACGACCAGAATTATTTATGCAAGGGGATTCTGTGTAAGTACAAATGTTGTGCATCTTTCTTGTGTTTCTCTCTGTTGATCCCTGTGGTTGGGGATACATTTTTCATGCTGGTTGCAAGAAGGAAGTTAATGTCTATGAAAATATGGGGAATGCTCAAGTGATAATGAGGAGGGTGTCCCATTGATTTGGAAGGAATGCCAAGGTGAATCTCGCAGTGCTCCGCAGAGAGCATGTCTTGTCTTTTGCAGCTCTCACCCCACATCCTTAAACCTTAAATCTGAAGCAGAAACGCGTACGCTTTGTGTTCTCCGTGTTGTCACCTGGAGCAGTGGCACGCATGCATCCTCGATTCCAGGAGTTTCAGCA